TGACCTGTTAATGTTCATTCACATTGTTTATTTTTATGCATCCATTAGAACTGTATCAAACAAAATAGATTTTGAACGTAAGTTCGTTTGCCCGTACGGTCATTAATTCTACTTTATAGGGGGATATAGTCACAATCTAAAATTCTATCAAAATGGATGACTGAATTATTTGTTAAGTCTTATAAAAAGGAATATATATTTATAGAAAAAAAAACCCAGTTAGTCAAAAAAAATATCTCCAACAGATGGCTTCATGTTCCTGATAGTATCAGTAAAAGGAACCGCCATTACATTCGAGGGAGTATGGAGTTAGCTTACTACTTTTTTACTGTTGAACAAAAGACTCAATTTAATTGCTAGTATTGCTGTTAAGTACTACACCTAAATAGTTTAATTTGATTCTCAATTATTAAAGTTATGAGCAGTTGATTATGATATTTTTAATGAAATAAAATGTCTAATTACTATAGTACTTTTGTGTCGATTTATTAGCACTTAAAAATACTTAAACCAGTTGAAAGACTATTGAAAACGGGAGTATTATGTAGAGGTTTGATTCCATATTAAACCGCCTTCATAAAGCTTACATATGATACCACACACGTTTAAGATGTGTATGATACTCCTTATTTTGAGTTGTTATTCTGCATTTCTAAATGTTATGAATGAATTCTTAATGGTTGGACTCATGAATTGTTCTAAGCTGAACCATCATTCAAAACCTGGAATCACTAGACGGCCGTTTCGTTCTAGTATGGGACTTCTCAGCAGTACGCATCCACGAGCCCTCGTGTGAGGCTCGAGTCCGACCTCTAGACTTCTGAGCCGGCATCTACCTGCGTTAATGCCTAACTTCAATCGACCCATGATCCTGTGCAGCCATTTTTCCATTGTGTGAAGTAGATACTTGTCTCTACCCGACACGGATTGGACCAGTGGCTTCTCACTAGAACTCCAGGAAATATATTTTGAATCCAGTCACTAGTGAGCACATGATGATTATCATCAGAAGGGGGTTTGTGGAGATTATAGTAACTTTAGTAGTTGAATTCATTAGTCGATCTAAGGTTTTCAGTGATGGTTGAGCTTAGATCGACTATTCAAATTACTACAATCTCCGTAAACCTCCATTCTTACAATAAATTCTTATCTTATCGAAATTGTTATCACCACATTCAATTAAAAATCTCATAAGTTGACTTCCGTATGTTTGGTTTCAGTGATGATAATAGTGATAAGATTCATACATACTTCCGATCTTACGTATTATAAGTTGAATAAAGGCCATTCGATAGTGTTCACATTTCCCTTTTTATTCATCTAATCAATTTTTTCAGGAAAATAACAAATCGTAGTATCATGTACACTCATAATGAACACGAAATGAACTCTGATTCCCATTTTTACAGTTTGATGTGTATTTTACAAAAAAATAAATGAGACTTGGAAATTGTATGGATTTAAGTTATTTTCGATTCTTGAATATCGGATGCTTGTGAAAGACATGGGAGAAAAAAGAAATATATTTTTGATGTAAATTTTAAGCTACTGATGAATATATTAGTAGGTTATTTATTAAACCAAATCTCTTAAACGGTGAACACTATTGAAGTGCTTGTTACTGTGTCCTATTTAATATTTTCACATTTTTGAGGCAACTCGGTTCTTTTTCACCTATCAAACTGCGTTATTTGATTTATCAAAACAACCTTTCAATATATAATAGACACTAATACATAGGTTTCGGCATAGAGCCATTTCTTAGAATGCATAGTTTTAATTATCAAGCTTAAATAAATAATTCTATGATTGTGCCGGTTAAAGTTAAGATGTATGGAACAATGGACTTTTTTTATCTAAATCTAAAATTATTATTCACTAAATAGTCAACATAACTTATTAGTGTACTTTTTACCTCATAATCCGATATCCCTCGATTATAATTACATGCAGCATTTCTTGTTATGTAGCTGGCCATGATAGATCTTGAGATTGTGTAAATAAAGTTTGTTCTAGTTTGTGAAGAAACAGTTGTGAACTACATTTTAATCCTTCTGGTCTCAGCATGAGCCTTATTTAAGTGGTGTTAGTGTATACTAAAGTTGGCTGTGCTTCTGAAGAACAGTAAGTAGTCAGTTTACCATATTTCTGCATTTAGCAAATATGCTGCTATTTGTCCCGACTTCTTTTAATCAGCATCTACGCAACTGGTATTTTGAGATTCTATTTTGTCAACATCTTACTTGAGGACATAACAAATATAAACTAACTTTCGATACATTCGAGTTTCCAATTTTGTTCCCTTAGGAGTAGTAATTTGTGAGAACTCTTCCTTCGCAGTGTGATCCAACAATAACACATTACGATTTATAAACTGACAATAGACCCAAGTGATACACTAGATAGTACGAATACTATACCGAGCATACTGGTTCGTCATGCTTGGTATCCAATTCCAACTAACGATTGAGAGGAAATAATAGAAAGGACTTCACAGTATTAGTGTTTAAAATATTTATCAAAGCTGACTGTTTATCTTCGCTCGCTAGCTGATCATAATTTACCGTTACATTTGAACTACATTTTAGTCTTACTGTGATCCAGCGTGGCAGCCCTTTTTCGTATCAAATATTACCACTCCTGTGTACAGTTTTTAATATTTATCGTCGATTAAACTATTATTGATAACATTCATGGTGTATTTTAATCCTCATTTATTAACTAGTACCTTTCAGAATTTATCCAAAAGCTTTTGAATCTTTTCATAAGAGTCGTTTTGATATATTCCTTGTCATTCTATAATTATATCAGCTGTCTGATTTTGTGAACATTTAGTTATATCTCCAAAAATGATTTAATAGGATGTTGTACTGTATTCCATGATCTAGAGGTTCTGCAGCAATTTGAAAGACTCTCCCGGTGTCCCACATTGTACGAGTATCCCATGTACCTAAATAAATGTTTGCTCTCGTTGTCAGAAGGGGTGTCAGCCTCGCGACTTCCGAAGGAACTCGGCTTTCATCATGAGTCGTCATAACTCTTCTAAATGAAGACCTTCTGACTCCCAGGGCAGAGTTTAGAAGTTTTGAATAATTTTTTCTGGTTAGCGTTTTTTTTAACGAGTTAGTTTTCTACGTGTTGGGGTTGCTAACCCAATGCCCAACCCTCCTCCTTTATCCGGGCTTGGGACCGGCAGTAGCCCTCGGAGGGACTCCAGGCGAAGTTGATCTAGAGGTCCTGTTTGAGAAATTCTAAAATTAGGCTCCAGACTTGCCGATCTCTGTCATTAAAGAAATAAATATGATCCTAAAAACTTGAACAAAATGGATTTCATTGTCAAAGGAAGTAAAAATTGGCTCAAAATATCTGTTACACATTTCAGAATAGTTATAATCAGAACAAGCGCTTTATTCCTGATGTTTTCTTTACGTATAATAAAACCAGTTAGTTTCTGTTTCGAGTTCTGGCGTTTTTTGTCCGAATCCATTCCACTTTTCAGAACGACTACCTTTTCCTAAACTTACTTCCCTATGAATAAACTTAAAAGTCTTATACACACAAGTTAGTTGACCTAGTTACTGGAATATATTCAGATGCTTGAAAATGAAAAACCTCCACTTCCTTTATATATTACATAAGCTTTTACCGTTCACTTATAAACAAACCGGAAATGATTATTTATCTTATAAACCTATTTTAATTCTTAACAAAATGGTGATGGAGCGTGGTCATATTGATTTCACCTTGAAGTAAACTGATAAATATCAGTAAACAACTTTCCAAATTTTCCAAAACATACTTCACTATTTTGTATAACGGAAATCCTCATTGCTTTTAAGATAAATTCAAATTAATCATTAGCAGATGAATGTAAAATAACAAACAAACTTTGCTTCATTAATGGCATAATTTTGATGAATTCTCTTTCATCTATCAATCTCTTTTTTCTCAAAATCAGGTTTTTATTGAAAACAGATGTCAATCCTAGTTCAGTGAGTGTTTGCAACGTGGTCACCTTTTAAACTGTTTTCAAATTTTTATGGTCACAAATTTCGATTAAAATCAGGCAATATGGAGCATTTCTCAACTTCCTGTGATTTGCGATGATATATATTGATTCCAATAGGATTGGAAGCTTCATAGTATGATGCACTACAATCTAACATAAAAGCTAAGTACACACTAAGCCGAATCACTTGGATTATTGTCTATAGAGTAACTAAATAAATAAAATTACATTCACACCAAAAACTAGACAAACCTAATATCAGTAATTACTCAATGATCAATCAAAATAAATATCACGATTCTACAGGCGGTCAGTTTAGGTCCGATTAACCTTGAATTAACAACTGCAACTGTGAAGCTCAATTAAATGTAAGGCATCATTTCCCTCGAGATCGAAAGTACGACATGCTGACCAGTGCCATGTGGTACGAAATTCACTTATAAGGAAGTATATGTTAATTGTATTATTCATTTTAGGGTATATAAAGGATGTTCAAAATTTGTATGAAAAGACCATTTAAATCTTGTTACTTTTGATTGGTGCAACTAATAATGCTAGACTTTCAGTGAAATCCATATTTTGAATAACTATACATCTCATCCACCAGTTTAGAAAATTGTGCGCTTTAAACGAAAGTAATCTTGAAGGCAAAATGAATAACCAGTTAATATCAGCTGGTAAACCACTGAAAACTATGAAGCACTAGAGAATTGTTTCAATCTCAGTTTGTGATTTCATATAAAGCCGTAACTGTACACTCTTAAAAAGCTCTTTGAAAAACTCTTTTAATTCCTTTTTGAAATACACTGAAGTGTATCGATAATATTTATCAGCACATAGAATATACATACAAACATTTATATTTTACATCTATTTGTTTATATGTCTAGTTGACGGTGAATTCTATCCCGCTTGTTGATATGTATATATATTATATAGTCATTACTATTAAGAAAGTAAACAAAACTGAAATTACACTAACTAATATTAACGGTGGAATTAGGCCAATTCTTAATTTAATCAACCAACCAATTAGTTAAATAATCAGCCTTTCATTTAATGACTTAGAATATATTAATCAATACATTGATTAATTAATATTATTATTCACAATTCACCATTGTTAACCATAGTCCATCTAGTCTAATAAATAAAGACGTTTACTGTTATCATTCATCTTATCTACTGTGATATATCGAGTTATGGAGATATTAGTAAGTAAATTAACAATTTCATAGTTTATTGATAATTTAAGAGGTTTTAACTTTAAATATCACTATTAATATGAACCGAACAAATTTCGACATTATACCTGTTTCATTATGAAATGATTCTTCATTGTGAACTGTTAACAGTATGAGAATTATTGAAGATCAAATAGTATTCAGATAGTAGTTTCGTTCAACTGTTTTCAGTTTTTAACAGAAGGACTTTCAAAATAAAACGTATAAATAGTTGTTATGTGTTCACAAGTGATTATTTTTCATAAGCCCCTTCCAGCCAAACAAGTTGGTGAAGCCTAGTAGGCCCTTCTGGAGAGAAACAGGCCACATCAAAGCACGGTACAACTACCGGGGCTAGAATAGTTGTTTCTGAAATCCTTTGGAGTCTGCCCAATGACAAGCAACTCCATATGATACATGAACCACTTTCGAGAAAATTTTTGTCTTTTTCCATTCCAAATGGAGTTGTGCTATGTTTATCTGTGAAGTTCGTAATCAGTTGGTGGGTATAGGTAAGAGTGGGTGATTAACCCGATCTCCACCACCCGGGTTACTGCTCACGTTAGTTCATGAGTCATTCGTCTCATTATCCAGGAGGCACGACGCGGACTTGTGAGTCGGATTTTGCCTTCCAACTCGAACTCAGTACCGTTCGATTCAAATGTCATCGCGTTATCCACTTAGCTACTGAGTCCTATAGATTTTCTGACACTCTAGTGAGAACTCATGATCCACTGAGTCAATTAAATCATGAATGAGAAAGTCATCTACCAATGACATCTGATGAGTATCTTGGTTCTCCAGATTTCATCCTATTTAATACTCATAAATACTAAAGAGGAGTACTTAATTAGAATAAAACAATTGTTTGATGATCCTTTGTTTCAAGTTGTTCTAGAGGTGATTTTAGTTAGTTGTGAAGATGTGTCAGTATTGTGTAATGTTTCCAGAAAATTGCTTAATATAAGTTCTGGATAACATTCAAAGCCTATGATATTATTTGCAACACCTTCTGTTTATCGAGTAAGAAGTCATTGTAGAGATTTTCGATCTAAAAAGTCAACTTATAAGTTTGACATATGACTAATAAAGAAAATCAGTACAGTAAATGTATGCTATTAATTCCACAGTTTTAGTCTAGTTTAATATATTGGGAAATTTACCATCAACTTTGTATCCTTATTCCATTTATAGGTGGTTAGTTTGGACTAATCTATTGACAAATCTATAATGTAGAGCTTTAGTTGCTTAAGACCTAGTAGTGATTAGTCAGACAAGTAAAGAGTCAATAATAATTGTTCAGTACTAAGAGATATTACTTATTTTTCAGAATGATGTTCAGAGATTTAAAACTACGACAAACGATTCATATCTTTGTGAATCTCAAAATATCCTCTTTGGTTCCTTCATCAATTATTACTTCTTTATATTATCTAAATAATTTAATGATTCCACGCTGATAACTCTTCATCCAATGCTCTTCATCAAGTAAAAGGCACTAGATTTATGCAAATAAACAGAAGCAAGACTTGAACTGATGTTTGATATCGATCAGTAGTGATTGACAAGACGAAGTTTTGAACTTTTATTTGCGTTGAAAACTAGTCAACCAAATAAATTACTTCCCAGTTGTTTGCGTCAGACCATTTCTTGACTAATGGTTGGTATGATGTTAAGATGTTGAATATATAATGCCTGAAAAGAGTTGAATGTTCTGATTACTCTTCTAGATCGAGAGCGACTCTCAATAGTTTTTTTTTTCACGTAACACACTACTAATTGTTCTGTACAGACTGTTGTTTGATTATGTATCAACACTAATGTAGGTTCAACAGTTTCATAAGAAGCAAACTGAGTACTAACAGTGGATAACAGTAAATTGGAAGGGAGACTAGTTCATATATCCAAAGTATCCACCGTAATAAACAAGAATATCAAGTGGCAGAAAAATGAATAAATAATAAATAAATAATGCATCAGATGACAACGAGATTAACTCAAATCATAACACCATATGGTGTGGAATAATTTTATAAACCTGAATTAAAAGTAAACACAAACATTTTGAGTTGTGGAGAAAAACATCACCTGAAAATATCTTGTGTACGTCCACTGTCATCTTACACTACGAATGCCCTAACAACAACATGATTCCAAAGCACGGCAAAATTATAATTGGGTATGTACACGTTACATTCATTTTGAATGGATCCTTGTTTAGTTACATTTTCACGCTAATGTCGTCCTACATTGAATCGGGAAGAAACTTCCAAAATGAACTGGATTGGAACCAGCATTATTGATTACTCATAGACAACTCAGATTTTTTTAATAGGATGGGAATGAACTAGTTGACTTTTGACCCAGCCTTAACTAGATTGTCCTGACTATCCCAATGCCTATTGTCAATAACTCAGAATAACGATAGGGCAATTTAAGACGTTTAAAAACAATGGATAGGATAAGCGATACTAATAATTCAATGTAGTGATTTTAGAAAATAAACCAATCAGATTGACCCACTCAGAATAATATTGGGAGATAGATGAACAAGGGATACCGTCTACAAATTAAATACTCAATCTGACAGGAATAGACATGTTCACTTTGTATGTCTATTTCAATTTGTTTTTTATCCAATCGAAATTTGGCTTCATTTCATCTAAGGTATAAATTATAACCTACTTCTATCCTGAGGCCTATAAAATCCCTGTCTTAATTTCCAACGGAGTTTTAATAAGTTAGTTAGTCAGTGTGTCCATTTATAAACAGCCCAGTGTGTCAGTACATCAATTCTGCTATTGACCAGACTTTGTTAACCCTTGAGCGAGTGAATTAAGCTTGACAGTAGCCATTCAATCGTTTTACTTACTGAATTTTAACTCGAAAACAAAGTGGTCATGCGTTTTCCCTGAATACCCCCCTTCATCACATGCCCAGCATCACATATAAGTTTCTAAAACGTTCATAGAATAAATATTTATCTGAACCTTTCTGCCACCTTCATTGATACATCTTTATTGGTTAATTTCCTCAGTTGGATTATTAGCTTTGTATTTTCGAATTTCAGTCAGACTCACAAATGCATAAACAATCAAAATTGTTTATGGATCTCCCAATCAATAATTCCTCCATCTTTCTCCAGGATACTTTTAATAATGTTTTATATGTACTTAAACAATACTATCATTTCATCTTTGACTTGGGAGAGTAGTTCCTTTGTTACGAAAACATAATAAGTAATAGATACACTCATATAATCTGTTGGAAACGTTTACATCGTTTTTTTCTACTGAACTAAGAAGACAATAAAGATCACTGGCAATGAAAAAAGTGGACGATACTAGTGTCATACAATCAACTACTTTCAATAAATCTGATTTCTCAGGTGAGTATAAATGATATTGATTTAGATATTGTTTTAGTGCTATACTATATTAGTAGTTATAGTAATTTTCCTAGATTAATTTTTTCAACACACCTTGGTATTTCGATTATATAGGGTAACTAGGCTGGTATCCAGTGTACTGCCTCTAACAATTCCATACGACATACTTGTTTTTTCCATGGTTATTTAATGAAATATCATTCAGTCACCTATCTTTAACCTGATAATGCTGATTTTAAGGGTGGACTTTATGCACACCCATCAATCAGTCATTTCCTTATAAGTAAAAATCTAAAATCAGGAAAATGTAAACAGATTAAAATAGTAAAGCTTTCTACTTTATCATCGGGGTGGTTCAAGAAATGATTTTTTTTCCAGTTCTGATAACATATTGAGATAAAAATTTGTAGTTTTCTCCCGTTTATTGTATATCACTAAATGAGAGTTTAACCCAACAGATAGTGCATTTATTATGGATAATTACAGAAACAGCGTTCAAATCAAGCATCACTGTAGGATTTTTATGGTATTGTATTAGCCTGGCTTCGAGGTAATTCCTTATGTTATCATACAAATCCCAACTATGTAAGAATTTGGAAGACAACAAGAAGCGGCGACTGCAGTTTATTATTGAGTAGCACAGATAACAAAGTTACGAGCACATCGAGCGAATCGGAGTAGAGAGGCTGTGTACGAGTGAGCGAATACAGAGGCTGATTTATGGGCAAATCGAATCCAGGTGGAGCATGGCAAAGCGAAAGCAACTAATAAGATTCAAATATATACATGGGAAGGAGAACGATTCGACAAGCGATATTTAAGCGATTAACATTTCAGATAGAATGAGGAATATGTGCGTAGGCTGTCACATGTGATCAAGCATACACGTTCATACAGACAAGATGGTGATCATAATACAAAGAAATAGACGTTTTGTTACTGTTCGAATAACACTGTCTGTCAAACAAGTTAATAAAAGGGCTCGAAAAAAAGTAACTGCAAACAAAATTGATTGTAGAAGAGTTGCTATGGTTTAACGATCGTAAATTCAAGCTTTACCAACATAAATATGATTGGACTGGTTGTAGTTATGCATTAACACCGTTGGACAGCAGCTCAGAGGTTTATAGGTTAAGCGTTCGCGCACCGGACTGTAGGTGCTCATTGCTGACGGGTCCCATGCTAGGACGAAATGTCCGTTCAGTGACTCCAGGTTTTCAATGGTCTAACATTGATCCATTCATGATATCAATCTAAAATATTACTCTTTAGTAAGTTATTACAGGTTTATGCTCTCCATCGTAAGATTGAATAACACCACTGATCCAATCAAATATCGTTGTATAGAACAGACTTTTATTCTGTCATCCATTAGTTTAGTCAAATGTTAATCAAAACTTCGCATTAATTTTATCATTTATTTGCTATACCATACTCGTGCTGTTAACAAACACATCATTATAGTCACTTACATAAATTATGGTGTTTATCTATTACTGATTTATATCGCAAATCACTACTAGTGGGGGATTTTTTAAAATCGTAAAGTACTCGTTCTCAACATAACAACCTATGATACGCATGTTTTCTGATGTGGCGGTGCATGCATCGTGTCCAGTTGTGATAGAAATGGTCACACAATATCGTGGGGGATTGAATTTAGGCATTAATACCGTTGGATACTGACTCATTAGTCTAGAGGTTAAGCGTTCACTCATGAAACCGAAGGTGCTGGGTTCAATTCCCACTTGTGGGATCGTGGATAGTCACTGCTAAGGTGTCTGATATTAGGACGAGATGGTCGTTCAAGTCTTCCAGGTTTTTATTGATGGCTTAACATGGATAAGTTCGTGATTTTGATAAAATTCAACAATTTTTACAATTCTATACTGATAGCTTAAATCATTTGAAAACGTTTTATATTATCAGAAGGGGTTTTTGTGGGTATTTTTAATAATTTCAATAATTGAAATCATGAGTCAATCGAAGCTAGACCACCATGAAAAACCGTTGGGTATTGGCTCAGTAATCTAATGGTTAGGCGCTCGTCCGCGAGACCGATGGATCCTGGGTTCGAATCTCACGGGGGGCGGGATCGGGGATGCGCACTGCTGAGGAGTCCCATACTAGGACAAAACAGCCGTCCAGTGCTTCCAGGTTTTCCATGGTGATCTAACTTCAACTGACTCATGATTTCAACTATTGAAACTTCTTATATTAGTTAAAATCCTGTTGTCTACCAATTAACTGATTAAATCATGTGAATTATTAGCTGTTTTTTGTTAAAAAAAAAGTGAATTTTAAAGTTCATTATTACAATGAAATGTTACTATAATTTTGATTAAAATAGGTCATTCTTATATGTAAAGTAGTAATGGGTAATACAAGTATTTTGGAATTTGATGTGAAAAACTTTGTAAATTTTTCATTGACTGACAACCAAAATATAATTTCAAAAGTTAAATATTCTTAATAGGAGACTGAAAATGTAAATCAGAACATGCTATCGATCAATCAATAATTGATCAATCCTTTCATCTAAATATCCATACTATCATACATGACTTTTCATGTTGCTATATATACTCTCTAATAAAGGGGAATTGGGTAGGATCGTGTACATTTCTTATAGAATAGACAGTGTATATTTCATTTACACTACTAATAAATGCTTATTGATATCAACCATTATTAGGGAAATACTATTTGGTTAACTAATACCCTCGTATCTTTAGTATACAGTGACTTGACATTTATGCATATCCACTCCTCAATATGCGTTATGTTTGTAACGTCGACAATGCTGAAGTCTATAGAATAGTTGGTGTCCATCTAAATAATGCTTATCATATTTAAACAATATCGCTGTTACAATGACATTCTCAACTTAGAACCTCAGAAATGAGGTTTTGTCATGCTGGAAGTTTCACTTTTGAATTATATAAGAGCCAAATCTTCTTAATTATTATTACCAAGTTTTGACTTCTGAATTCTTCATGTCCCTTTTTCCCTCTTTCCAAATTTCTTTCACTGGATTATACTCTTTAAATAACATCTCCAAACCCTAATCTTCCCGATTACTGCTTATACTCTTGCTACCTGTACCACTACGGGATTTGAATCGACCACTGCATCTCTGTGCTAATGTGGTGTGGCAACTCGAACTGATGTACGTACGTACGAAGTTCTACGTTGTTACTGACTGACTGACTGACTTAGACTTGATAATTACAAATAAATTGGACATTGGATAGAATGTTAATAACAAAATAATGATACGTTTATTATATCCTAATGATTAGAAGTTAGAATATCCGACGTTTCGTAACTGAGCGTAAGTTACTTCTTCAGAGTAAATCAATAACCGAACTAAATTAACATAAGTTTAAATAGTATAGCGGAATAGGTAGTATATTTAGTTCACTCAGGGTTAGAATAAAAATAGACCTGGTTATTTCAATGTCATGTCATTTTTGGCAAGTTAATATTACTTGGGTCTCAGCTACTCACCATTATAATTGGAAAAACCTTCACAAGTTATTTCGATATTTTTAATGTCGATTTGGTTGTTAAAAATGATATGTACTGCTATTGGTGACTTGATTAGTAGGTTTTCCAGTCCTAGATTTTGTAATAATCAACCGTGGTCGCCTTATAGCACACTTCATCGTAGGTTAGAATTGAGACAAGGTATAGAAGTTCCTTACTCAATTTAGAGTTATTAATATGTAAGCTGTGTTAATAAGCTCTATATTTTTGAGTTTATTCTTATTGGTTATCCGATGTATCAATTATTGATTTCTTTTTTTTTATTCTCAAGCTGAAAATGATGTTAATTGTAATCCTAATCCATCCTCGAGTTTAAAGAGAACCGCTTGTCAAGCTGGGTCTTCTGAAGATAACGATGATCCAGAATATGCTCGGAAAGTAATAGTTCTGGAACCTGAGGTATGTTTACTTCTAGGTACTACAGTTTCTAAATTGAATATTTAAACTTCTTTCTAGTGGTTATTTATGACTCCCATACTAAAAATGTAGTCCATATTCTGATCATAGATTCAAGTTAGTACGTGTGATTAAGAACTGATATTGGTCAATATCAAGAAATGGTTGATTTACAGTGTTAAATTAACTTTTCTGTAATTTATTCATTTTTCATTTATCTCACTGATACTGTTTTGGATTGGAGCACTGAACAACTAGGGGTTAAAATCTTACTTGAAGTTCACCATACTAAAATCGATTGTTTGATAGCTAGTACGAAAATATGTAGCTTCTTACCAACTTTAGATCTCTCACTAATCAGAATCATTTTAAGATAATTAAGTTTCTGTTGTTTGTTGAACCGGTTTAATTTTTTGTTTCGTTGTTTATAGGTGTCTAGTGTTCAACAGAATAGTGAAATAAAATTGCCTGAAACAATTCAGAACACTATATCTGGACCGACTGTCACATCCAACTCTTCAATCTTGAATACAACAACTAAAGCTGTAGTATCTAACACAATCAGTTCAACTAATAATATCAAACCAATTGGAACAAACTTACAAAATAATTATGGATCTTCTCCTAGTGTTTCTGTGCATCAACCAAGGCAGCAACAACAAACATCAGAAAAGACATCAGTGACTACTACACCTAGAACTAGTACACGTAGACTTCATGTTTCGAATATTCCTTTTCGGTTTCGAGAAGCTGATTTACGGTCTTTATTAGGTGTAAGTCTAATGAGATTGACATGTTATTTTGTCTCAGTATAGAATCTTGTGGAAAGTTGCGAGATATTGATTTATGTCTAATAATGTATAGTATTAAGACGATAAAAACTCATTTAAAAAGTGGAGTTTAATCATAATTGAACTTCGATCATTTGAGGTTCTAAGTTTCGATACCAACTTAGTAATTTAGATTCAGATCAGGGAACTCAACAATAATAAGAAAAATAGTTATGGAATAAAATGTAATTGAAAGAAACAGAAAGATATGTTGACTAATTGATAATAGGATGAATTGAAGTTGACTGATGAAATATTCGGGACAAAATAAAGTTTTGTTGCATCTGTATCACCGAGTTCGATTCTGATCTATATCACTGTTAAGTTTTCAGTTATCCTTGTGACTTACTCTATCTTGACTACACACCAACATAATTACGAAAATACAATATCGACACAACTACTTCATAAGCTTGAGAGTACTGATTAATAGGTCCATAATAAATTAACCGTAACTTAAGCGGGTACAAATCATAACAACATCACAAAAGTTGTACTGGCAGGTGGTATGTTTGAAGAGATTACGAGTTTATCTAAGTCTGCGAACTGCATGAAGACTCATCGACACAACGACCAAATAAGCTAACTATTCTGATGCGTCCCAGCCCCGCTAACTAGAGAGAGAAGTTCAGGTTCAGAAGAGGGAGAATGTATCCCTCAAGCAGTCAGAAGCACGAACAACAACAAGCACAACTCAAGAGTATATATACAGCATAACAATGTTTTTAAGAAACATTACAAAATAGTATATTAAGAGAAACAACGAACCAATGACATTTGAGGTCCTCCTAAATGGGAAATATGATATAAAGGTGAAAATGGACACTTTTGGCGCGAAAACAAGAAATCCAAATTTCCAAAATAAGACATTTACTAAATGAGTTCTGCAGATCTCCAGAGGTACTGTAATTCAAGCACTTGATAATTATTAGACAAAAGTACAAATAATAACTTCAGTCATGTGGGATGTTTCCAAAGGTTCAACTGAAGCTACCTTAGATAGTCATGGGATCAATTTGCTGAAACCCAACTTTATAGTAACCAAGATAGAAATTTTGAGACAAGAAGTGCAATGTTAAAAGATTTAAATGTTTTTTGTTCGCTTCTTTTAATTCAATCTTGAGATACACACTTCACAGTGTATGAAGTGTATGAAATGGGTTAGTTGTTATTCTGAAGATCATATTCCGTTATTTGTTAACTCACATTCTATTTAGGACATTTTAGTATATAATTAATGTTAAGTCAAGTAATTACAGTGTTTATTATCATTCGTGTCTAGTACACGAATGAAATATTCACCGAAACCAATTCTACATTGTCATAAGACATCATGTTAATAAACTTTTTTTCTTATTACAAAGCCTTTCGGTCCGATATTGGATGTTGAAATAATTTTCAATGAAAGAGGTTCTAAAGTAAGTGTAGTATTTGCATATTTGTATCTATTATCTATCGATACTTATAAATATCAACCATTAGTTTACCGGTTGATCAGCAAACTTTCGATTATAAGATACGTACTGCTGAGGGAGAAATGATCAACCAAAGTAGAGTTGTCTTACGTTCTTTTGTATTTTCAGTGATTATTTTTTATATAGTTTGTAATGAATCTGTCATAGACTAACCTGAGATCAGTTTTTCTTTTATCCATTGAGGTGGAAATTTACGTAGACATTTGTAAAGTAGTTTGGTTTCTAACGTCTTCGTGATCAGCTAATTCATTTATTATATATATATTCTCTTGCAAAACGTAGCAGTATTCTAAAATTTGATAACTGATTAACATTCTCATGGATAGATTGAATATAGGAAAATCACCCACGTCAATGGATGCGGACAATCTCAGATAGCTGATTCAAATTTCTAAGTTCAGTTCACCAGAATACTACATAGGATTCTGAGTCGTTTCTATCAGAACCTTAGCATGTGTGCCATTTAATATTCAGTTAACATATTCAAACATACTTGATCTACCAGTTAATAAGGAGAATAATACTCAACTCCAAAGTTAGGGAGAAAGATTACCCAAATATGTACCTCAACGGTGACACCACAATTACTAGTATCACCCAATCATTTCCTATCTTGACAGAGCAGTGTGTCAGACACCTATGGAAATATTCTTTTTTGACGTTTATTCTGGATTTGCTTCGAAAGATATAAAAGGCTTCATGGATAAACCATGGAGATAAGAAAAGTGAGATGTTAAGAAAGAAACTTAACTGAGTGGCCCAGGTGTCGAAAACGATATTTGCAGATGGTATTCAGCACTCATCCTTTCTCAGTTTTTATTCAAATAAGGGAGAACAAGAAAACTGTTTCGTCTGGTTTTCCCAAATGAAAATAATCTTCACAAAATAACTTCGTTCAAGCGATAATATTTATGGTTTTATGGTTACGTATGCCATATAATTATTATTTCAATACCTTTTTACTTTAAGGGTTTTGGGTTTGTTACATTCATGAATGCAGCTGATGCAGAGAAAGCACGCGAAAATCTTAATGGGCATGTCGTAATGGGTCGGAAAATAGAGGTAAAGACTTTTTACCGGTAGCAACATGTTTCGTACTCTATCGTTGTTTTTTAGCGCATTTCTTTTTTATAACGAAAGATTGAGGCCCAGTGAACTGGGGAAAGATTGGTGACTTTGTAAATTCAAGTTGACCTCGATGGGCTTTCATCAGGGCAGTCATGCTTCTCCACTAATCGGGACGTGAAAACTCCAACGTAAAGTAGAGTTATGGTTAATGGTTGTAGTTTGTTTTTTGAGAGGTTCTCTATTAACCACTGACTATGGCACACGCACATTGGTTGGTTTCTGACGATAATGTTTCGTTTTAAATGTATGCTACTTAGAAATAGTTCGGAAATATTGTCAGTAATATTTAAACATCCGGTGAGATCTTGACTTTGGTGGCGTGTCACCTTACTATGAAAAAAGCCAGTGTATGTATAGGCATACAAGATAGGTAAAATCTTGACATTTATGTTAAATGTTTTTATTTTCAGTGGTAAATTTAAAGATCTATTTCAATGCAAGCCATACTACTCTGTTTAGGGTCAAATGTGTTAAACAGAAATCAGATAGTATATTCATAGTCAGATATTGTGAACTGGGTTAGAAGTGAGGGCTGATTAGTTTCATAATATGCAGTATTCCTATCAGAAGAATCATGAGCTCCTTAATGTAGCTTGTGAATAAAAACACTTCCATCCTCTATTAATCTAATCATTTAAAATATTCTTACATACTCTCTTTTAAGGTTCCTCTTCACTTATACTCTTCCATTTAAATCCTATGTTCAATGTTTAAACTTCAATGAAATTCGATTAATGCATTAGAATAAATATTAATTAAGTGGTGTCTCAGGATGTAAAAATGCCCTACCGGTGATTTCTTTGGGTTTTTATCAAGCTGCATGAATGGAAGTGTTCTTCAAATGTCTCTGAGACGTTAACAAAAGACGGTTAAGAAAAAAACAGCAAGCCTCATGTGACTTTTTATGTAAGGATTATCATGGAGACATCCTCATTCCACACACTAGTTTCAGCGACACTAGCTTATGATTACATCCATCTAAATGTATAAATGATGGGAGAATCGGGATTTATGAAGTTATTTGTTTGTTAACTGGTGAAGAGAAAGTTAGAACCTGATAATTCGGTTCGTGTACGGACCTGAAAATATCATCAGAAATAAAATTGGTAAAACTGGGTGAAAAATAGCGTAACAATAAAGTATATGGGTAAGAGATGTTTCAACGAAAGCAAATCATATAAAATATGCCTAAAGGATTAGTTAACTATTTCCATATGTGTATTATTCAACTGCCTTCACATAATAATGGTAATAGTAACAATAGTAGTAGTAATAATAATGGTGGAATGTCCTAAATATTTCATAAATTATTGGGAATTGTCAGTGGCAGTTATACATTTCTACTTAGTCATGTTTAATTCTCTCACATATATGTTGATTTTCTATGATGAGTCGCTTTGTCTTAATATACAACTAGTCATTTCAAGAACAATATGATTAAAATAATATGGCAAACTGGTTCCCAGTCATGTCGTTTAATATCTGATACAGATTTATATTTTTTACATGGACTATAAACAGTTCATGTTAGGTTCATTATAAAAAGTCGATTTTGTTCCCTGTTTTAGTTTGGGTACCCATAAAATTTTTTCTAGCCTACTTTTACTCTATGTTTTCTGTTGAAGAGTGTGCAAATTAACTCTACAAGACATAGTTTCCAACACGTGATGTCATCTAGTTTCATCAACAAACTTTTAAAGACGTCACGAGTGATGTAACTATCTAGATAAGTAAGACGTTTAATACGGTTTTTGACATATAGTCAACTTTGCTTATTTACTAGATTCTCAGAAATGTTTCTGAAGTCTATCCAATTTCAAAAACTGCATACCTTTGAACTTTATCTATTTGTAATTTTCTAAGCTCCTTCACTCAGAATTTCAATCTACTTTGCTAAGTCAGCTTAAACTGTAAATGTAGAATACATCTTATAAACATGATTTTATATGATTTTTCCTATACTATATTCTTGGTAACGTAAAATTTCAACTTTTCGCTATTAATCTCATTCTATCACTTAGTAATTGGAACATAATATAACTTTGAGTCTCAACAATTAAGTAATTTGTACTCATAAATCTTTCATCTAATTAATTACATAAACATCCCAGTTTTCTAATGGGGTTATTTCATAACTAAATTTTCTCCCTATCACTACAATACGAATGTTATGTTAAATTAAAAAACAGTATCTCATCAGTTTTCAGTCTATTTTTTTTTCAAATTCAAGTTAAATTTCGATTTACCCTTGATCAACTATGTTGAAGTCCCTTCATCGAGTTTATTCATACATTAGTACTATATGAGAATAGTTGTATTTGCCAACGTCAATTACATGCAGAAGGCTATCTCAGGTTTTCGGGACTGATGCATATATATATATATATATATATATATATATATATGAATAGTTCGACAGTATATATTAATGAATTTGGGTTGCAAAATTCCATTCAAAGTGACGAAACTAGGAATACTGTTCATTATACAGTACTGACAAGGGTGAAAACGATTAATTCATTATGGGGGGGGGAAGCAAATAAAAAATGCACACTAACCGATGAAAAATTGTTTACCATATATACTGTATAAAAACCCCAAGCATATTAAAACATACTTATAGACGAAAAATATTCTTTCCGATAAATTATCCTTAGACCGTACAGTTACTAATTTAAATTAATGATTCAAAAACATAGTGAGGTTTAAGGCAAATATATCTTTTAAAATTACAGCATGAATCCATGATATTTCTTACCTAATTCATAATATTTTATACTGTACAAAATCATGGACCGAATATCTTATTTTTATTATTTATTTATTTTAACACATATTGGTACAAGGAGGCACTAAATACATATGCGCCACACAAATCTCATTCGATATGTGTGAGGGCTGTGATACTGCCCAGTTGCCCGAACCGAAGCAGGTGGTTTTCTTAGGAGGCCACTCCCCGAGCCTTCGACCTGAAGGTCTGATCCACAAGGCAGTGGAGCATCGTAAGGAGATGCAGTCCCATGAAGGCCGGTGACCAACGATTGGTTCATACGCCATTTGTTCCCTCAGGATACTGGAGCCCATATGCACCATTGGTTTGGAATCCGGTTAAAGTGCCGGACATTCTCTTTTCGTCCTCTCATTTTCGTAAACAACAGTAATGCCACGAAAAGACAGTGAGTAGGACTTCCCTGGCAGAGGCTATATAGGCGTGGCCATGTGAGAGCATTTCGAGAGGGAAAGCGGACTCTCCCCACTCTCGACCGTACCAGGGCATCTGGGGGCGGACCGAATACCTGGCTACTTCTCTCACTCTATTATATGTATATTTATTCTGATTATTAGTTTCATTATTTCAATTCACGTACAAACGTATTCAAACATTAGGATAATAATCTATTAGTCATTTGAACATTAATAATCTTAATAGTTGAAATCACAAACTAATCTTAGCTTAATCACCATTGAAGAAAACTGTGTACAAATTCTCTCTAATTAACAATTTTGTTTTATTTTACCAACATTTCTGAGTTCATACGCTATGATTTTAAACGGTACGTTTACCATTCGATTTGAGCACTTTCTTAGAGTCATTAATTTGGTTTTGTAGGTGTAGAATTTAAGTTTAATTTATTCCTTCATGTATTTGTATTTAATTCATAGTCAATCAAGAAAATACCAGAAATCAATCATGCCATAAAATTCCAGTTACTCATAAGTAATGTAGTTAGACCATAGAAATCTTATAAGGATTTCTTTTGAATTATAGTTGGGATGGCCCTATATATGTCTAAACTAGTTTATCAGTTGTTAAGGATCAACATATCTCGGAAATTTCTTCGTTTATGTTAGTCAGTGTTAGAAGTACGCATATCAATTCCTTGTTTTCTATTAAGTCTAAATCAAACATCCTTTTCATTCATGAATGATTTGATATTTACTCCTTCATAATGAAACGATTCCTAGGACGAGAATCGTTGGCATAATTGTTCTTTTTTGTTGATAATATTGAGTTATCAGTTGTAATAATTATGTTAATATTGTCATTTTCTGTATTTAATAAAATGTTCACATTATCCATTCCAAATGGTTTATCTTTTTCATGGTTTTTCAGGGACACATGCCTAATTACAATCATGTTCTTATATCTGGCATGTTAACGTAATAACACATTCATATCACAAAAAAAAACGTACTTTGCTGTGCACTTTAGGCCTGAAGGTGATTTATATGTTCTTTGAGATTTTGCATGTTTGTATGGATATGTATGACTGACAACTGCATTTCTGAATGACTTGTCTTATTTTATGTATTAGTTTAGGTAATCATTTGCTTAACACAATAATTCTGTGAAAATCATAAAATGATGTTCTCATTAAACTGTTGAAATTGTTCTCTCTTTCCACTCATTTGGATCGCATGCTCTACAATTTAATATATTGCTTTAATGGTTCTCATGTTATTCTTTCCTTGAAATGGAAGACAATGAAATCTATTAATGAGAAAAAGTCGATCTTTTGTCAGGAGTTCAGCAACTTATGTATTACATAATGACATAATCTATAATCACTTGATAGTAATTTGCTTGTTTCATGGACACCTGACTTAAATCTTGCTTGGAAGTTGATTTCTTCAGCCGCATCCTAGTATGAATCATCCACATACTGATTCAAAGTAAAAAAAATTGTGTTGAATATACAATATATAACGAACTTGTTCCCTTCTTCTCGCATGTCTACTTGATAACTGAGCATAGTTTGGGAGGTTCCTTTTTATTTTCACATACTTTAAATATACTTTTTGTCTTTTTGGTGTGTTTTCTATTTGTTTCGGTTGTCTGCATGGAATGCTGCATAGGCATTGTATGTGTTTCGCCTTGTCTATCCGCCTTACCTTAATCCCTTCCACATACACTGATATTGACACATTTAATATACTCTAATCTTTCTGTTTCACTCACTACATTACTGATTAGTAATATATTTTGCTTATTCGCTTGCTCACTGATCGTCAGTCTAAAACAAATACTACAACTACTCAGCCTATTCATTCCTTGTCATCAATAATTGAAAGAATATTCTGTTCATTTGTCTTCACATTTCTTTTTTTGTCTGCCTATATGTATCCTGTAAGAAGCACATTCTACTTGAGTGCACTTAATGTGTCTGGCTTGATAATATTCATATATGCCCATACTTATTCATTCTTATATCGCAAATATAAGTAATCTTTTGTTCAGTTACCTGGTTTTATTTCTATTGTATGCATTTGAACAACTTAATGTTTCGGCAGTTTTAACCGATGAAGAGTTTTGTTTTACATATGGAATCTATAGTGGGTAAGTTGATTTGTTGTAGTTGACCGCTTCAGATTTTAGGATAAAACTAATGTTAAGTTATCATATTCGTGTGAGCATGCCAACTTGGAAATTCCTCAACTAGTTTCTTTGTTCTTAAATACCACATTCATACTTCGTCTTTGATTTCTTATCTGCTTTCAAAATAGTAACCTTATTAGGAGCGCATGCGTTGTATAGAAACCTGCATCATATAAGGTATATTAATTTGGTATGCACTATTCTGCGAAATTTCAATCTTAGTTTTTCTTGTTTGAATCCTACTCATCTGTTACTTCTTTTTTGACAGACAGGTAATAACAATTCTTTTAGCTGAAAAAATCCGGTTGCAAATTATTGATTCTACCAATCGAAGTTGTTATAATACTTATTAATAATTAATTACTCCGAATGGGCAGCAATTGATGATTACTTTCCCATCATATCTAATATCCCAATGAGTAATTATCTGTTTGTGCAAACTACAACTATTTATACATACTTTGTGACCGATGTAAAGCCACAGTAGATAAATAGCTGAATAATCTACGCTAATTGGTCTTACAACAAGATAAACTATTCAGTAGAATTATTCCGACCATACAGCTGCTTGACCTATAATATAAAGTAGAAAAAATTTCATTTCATCTTTCAATAGTCTAAAATGTTCGATATATGATTAATCGACCATCTGTTGAGTATGTTGGGCAAATCTGTGTTCGAATCATCATTGTCTTCAAAGGATTGCTAGTATTCAGAGGCAACGCCTTGTTAAGAATATAGAGGTATCTTTGGGTACAGTAATGATAATTGAATTAATGTAACTATCTTGAAACTCCAACTTTGGTGGCTTGAACATGTGCTATGATTTCCACATTGTACCTTATTTGTCTGGTACTTGTTGGAGAAAGTGTATGCGTGGTTATTTTACGATGTATTGACGAGGTATAAAAGAAATCTGTACAAGAATGGAATTTATCTTCCCTTCACCTCTTTTTGGTTGTGGTTCGAGAAATGTGGAAGTTTAGTGACTTGAAATATCAGACTAAACTCATTACCGATCTTGCTACAATTCTTCTCAGCTGAATTATTTCTTTAGTTACATAACGCTCTCGTTCACTTATTTTTATTCATTTGTTGTTTTTAATTGTACTCATCCTTTTTGCTGTATCCACAATTTCATTTTCTTATTGAGTGGCGTATGTTTATTTTGGTTAATTTATTCTTTTACTATGTCCTGATGATACACATTATGACTGAATAATTATTGGTATATCTTTTTACCATTTAATAATAAACAGTCGGTTAATTTTAAATATATCAAAGAGTTATGTATTCTAGTTGAAACTTATCATCTGTTTTGAGTCATGATATTAAGTATGCTTATTTGATGCATTCTATGAAATCTAGATATAAAGAAACTTGTGACTATCCTCAGCTTTCCTCTTCTTTATTATACTGAGATCTTAAGATTCAATGGATATAAGTTAAAGAATTATCTTTACTGATATACCGGACATAAAAGTTTGATCATCAGTAAAAATAAGATTTTCATGATATGAAGATGCCTTAGACATACACTCTACTCGCTAATTTAATCTCATATATAATTTGAGCTCTGAAGCATGATAATCAAAAGTGATTTATTTCCTATTTTAAATTAAGTTTCATTTTATTTTCCATTCTTAAATGATTCCTTTAACAAAATATATAATTAATATCAGATGGGTTTTGTGGATATTATAGTAATTTCAATGGTTAAGATCATGAGTCAGTTGAAGCTAGACCACCATGGAAAACCCGAAAGTACTGGACGGCCGTTTTGTCCTATCGTCGGACTCCTCAGCAGTGCACATCCACGACTTCGCCCCCCGCGGGATTCGAGCCCAGGACCTAGTGGTTTCATGATCTTAACCGTTGAAATTACTATAATATCCACAAAATTCATCTGATATTTATCAACAGATGCTCACTAGTGACTGGCTTCACGAGGTATATCCTGGGGTTCTAGTGAGAAGTAGTGACCAGTGGAGTTCAACCAGGTCTGTTGTGACATAGTAACTCACTGAAAGCAATGGTGGATGTGTCGCTCAATTTCGTGGATTAGTTGAACTTAGACATTAACACAGTTGGATGCCGGCTCAGTGGTTTGATGGTTAAGTGCTCGCACGCGAAATCAGTAGGTCCTGGGTTCGAATTTCGCGGAGGGCGAGGTCGTGGATGCGCACTGCTGAGGAGTCCGACGATAGGACATAACGGCCGTCTAGTGCTTTCGGATTTTCCATGGTGGTCTAGCTTCAACTGACTCATGATCTTAACCATTGAAAATATATGATTATCAGCAGTTTTCTGTCTTGGTTGAATTTGTAACTGTAGTAAAATAATAGTACCGGATATATATATGTGTGTGTATTTGTTGCAATCATTATTTTATCCTTTGAGGAGAGTTTTCGGGACAGTAAGCGGTTGCAAAATTTACCTACAATTATTTCATTTTTATATCTGTTACTTATTTTTAAATGACATTTTCATTATAAAAAAAGTTGTTTAAAATAAAGCATTCACAGATCATGTCAACTCTGTTTAGTTGTATTAATCATCATTAAATTTGCATGAATGGAGTAATGTTTAAGCAATTGTGATCACAATATGTTTTACTGAACAATTCTGAGTATTCTCTACATGCAGGAAAACCTACCCAGGAAATTATACAATCTAAGCTTCAATCTGTTTGTTATTAAAATGTATCTGTAATCTAAAGGGGACTGATGTTCTTTCTTGTAGGATTAACACTGGTCACATTTAGACTAATATGATCACATTGTAATTTGATTAGTAGGAATCAACCAGTATTTATAACTAGACAGCATAATATTACTTACAATTAAAAATAATTGATTAGTGTAAACTGAGAAAGTGTGGGTAAACAGTGTTGCCAAGGTTGTTTTTCTTTAAAAAGTTACCCATCTAACCGTACAAAATTTATTTCTGTCGGTGGTTAATAGTTGGTGATTTATAATTTTTAGCAAAATATCATCTCATTCTAAATAATTTTATGTTTTTTCTTGTGTGTTTTACTTAAAGCATGTACAGGTTTATTATTTCAATTTCATTATGATCACTGATTTTTCTTTTGGGTGGGGTGGGGAACTTTCATTTTGTTGAGTCTAACTGGATGAAACGATTGTTTTGCAAGCACTATTCAACTACATAGTTATGTGATGTCAGCTACACTGTCTTATTGTTTTTTTTTCTTCTTTTAACTGATTACGATTTTCATGACAACTACAATAATAAAGCGGTAAATCTTGATACTGTGTGTAGAAACAGGATGTTTTTATCGTACGGGCTATACTATAATAAATTGATTTCATCTTATTCACTGAGGATTATTATCATAAATATTTTACTCATATTCAGATGGAAATCGTCTAAATCTGATCGGTTTGATGTTTGTTTGTCTTTTTACAAACTGATATCAGTGGTTAATCATTAGGTAATAAACACTAAGTAGAGGCTCAAATCTTTGTAGTTGAATTTCCGAAACCGTGCTTTAGTCTGTAGTGAATATGATACAGATGAATTCTTGACCTCAAGGTCATTATTGGTTACTAGATGGAGAGTAATAGACCACTTCTCTGATACTCATGTACAGAGCAAGAAACAAAGAAAGTGTTTGTAAAGGAGCTTTTAGTATCTTCAGAAAAAAACAATCGTATGAAAATGACTATTGATTTTGTATCGTTCAACTTACCTTGAGAAAGATAGTAAAGCGCATTCAGTGCAATGAGTGAACTTAAACAACCAGTATGAAGAAAACACAGAAAATAGTGAATCGTAATATCTAGTGTTAATCATGTAAAACGTAGAATAGTCAAAGGAAGCCATTATTGAACAGCTGCATTGGTTGACTTGAGTTGAGTTGTATCTGAGCCATATAAAATTCATGTTTTTACAAAATATGATTGATCAGTACACATTGCACATTAATGTGGATTTTCAAACTACAATAAATCAATTGTTTGATGCTTTCTAATATTCAATGTTATTCATTAGATTAGTTAATAAAGTAAACGGTAGACTAGTCAATTGTTAGCTAGATATATATTACTTTCTCATCAGATGAAAAATGTTAACATAGATTAGAAGAACGGTGCAAATGGAAAGAAACAAACAACCCTAACTGTTATTCACTTGAAAGGGTCATGTGTAAAAAACCCATTGTCCACTACAGATATTAACTTTTGATAATTTAACCTTTTTTTAATGGTTAGTTTTTACTTCTTCCTCAAAGTGATCTTCTTTTCCGTTCCTTTTTCATTCCTGGTTCAATAAAAAGCATGCATCGGAATTTTGTGAATTATTTATGATACTACTACTTTTACTATTCAGTAGATCTACTATTACTGTTTAATTATTCATAATAATGATAATAATAATGATTATTCTTCGCTATTTGTTCTTGTTTGTGCTATCGATAAACGTAATAAATTCATTTCTGATAGTGAAATATGTTTACGGTTATGCGTTTTTTTAAAACCTTTAAAATAATGGTGAATTAATGTTTGCACAAAACTTTTAGGTAAACCATGCAACTACACGAGTTCTTACAAAGAAGCGTACTGATAATGCAATCTCAGCTGGAGGAAATAAAGGTAATTTAATAGATAGTGATGAAATTATTAATTCTTTCTCTAATACTTCATTAGTACTGATTTGTGAGACATATGTTAAAACCTAGTAGTAGTAGTTACTACTTTTTGTTTTTCAATCTAAAGACGTACATGAAGAGTACATCCGGTGATATTATAGTTATCATGTTCAGTGTAATCTTACAACGTTTAATAACTATTTATATAGTGATTTCTGTTCTACTGAGTTAATATTTACTCTGATGAATGTCCGTTTTCTAATTAGCTGATTTCATTTGTTATAACTTTGGATTAGTGAAAGTTCATGCTGATCGGCTTGCTATAACTACGAATCAACAACTGAGCAATGTAGGCAGCCTAGTGATTTAAAGATAAACTCACTTCATGAATGTTCACTTTCGAAGAGTACAAAAATGAGGTAAATAACTGCTCAGTACTCCATGGTTTCTACGATTGTCCATCTGATACTAGTTCATATCAAAATGTCCATCAAATTCGTGCTTGTCACTCTAGTGACTAGGTATTTAAATAAACAACCAAAAATACGGAAAATGTGTTTAGTATTGTCCATATTGAATGGTATATAATTTTAATGCAGTATACGAATGTCCGTTAAATTGGATATACATACATTTTGTCTAGTCACTTAAATCAGTTTATTCAATCTTCAATACACGATATTCCCATTATTACCTATTGAAAGTCAACTTATTTATATTTATTTGAACACATAAATATTGGTACAAGGGGGCACCAAATATATATGCGCCACACAAAACAATGGGAATGGGAAGAGAAAAAAGGAAGGTAAGGAGCGTAAAAGAAAAAAAAGAAGAACAATAACGACCAGATTAGTGTAAAGTAGTGTAATAATAATAATATTAATAATAATAATAATAAGGGAGACGAAGAGGTACAACCAGAAGAAATCTTTCAGTTAAGGAAGATACAACCACTTTTTTATGAAAGTAAAAGAAGGTTACAGCAGGATCGCCACTGGCTTCTATTCTGAGCCATATCTGATAACGTCTCTAGCCACTGTGTCGCACCATCTCTCAGACCCCAGCCAGGACCAACACAAGCCAGCCCTTTGCAGCTTTCTTTCATACCCCGACACCATGTCATACACTGACTACCTCGAAAGTATAAATATACATATTTGATAGATCGCTAAAGCGAGATTTTGAACAGTATATCTCTTTGATTGAAGTTATTTCTTGTTGGATTTCTGAATAAATTGAATTTAACTAAACCCATCTTCATCGCCTTTTTTTTGAAAATAAATAACTGTGATCCACCGTAGTAATTTCTTTCGAACTATCTTGTTTTGACGTCGTATTTTGACCATTCATATTGGTCATCTTATATTGTATTATAACTACCACAGATATAATCCATGACTGGATTCAGTATAAAGAGAGGTAGGAAGTTCTGTATCTCCAAGTGTCCATTGTTGTTCATTGAGACTGGTTATTTAAACTTTTTCTGGCTGTGATTTGGTTGGTGTCAATAATTATCCAACATTATTTGGAGATTCATTAAAAACCGTTGAGCACTAGACAGATATTCCATCCTAGCTTTAAATTCGTGATCAGTGTGGGTACAAGACCCTACATGAAATATGATTTAAAACGTTCAGGTCTTGTGGTGAGCATGATACTTCAAGACAACCGATTCGGAGTCTAGTGATACCCACATTTTTAACTTGAATCGACTCGCAAAACTATTATCTTATGTCAACGGCAATATCTATCGAACTTCTATCGTGATTAATATCCTTACGCTTCCCATTTGATTGATATTAGATTTGTAAGGTAAGATATCAGTATTCAATTTTTCTACCTATTCAAGTGAAGGAAGAATATAAGGATACCAAACAAAGAAATTGTTTGAAAAGATTTGAAACATATTCTTAATTACTTATCTTTTTGATTGTACCTAAATATTCAGTATAAAAATTTTAATTGTTTTAAAAAAATGAAAACTCTTCAGCTTCTAACTTTACCAACCCAAATATTGGATTGAATAATTACACTAGTACTTTGGCTTCGAGACCACGGATTACTGGGACATCTGTAGGAACTAGTAATAGTGTTGTTGCTGCAGCAATTTCAGCTGCTGCTGCTGTAGCTGCAATGTCAGGTTCAGGAATTGTCAATAATCATACTTTAAATGGACTATGTCATTTACCAAGTTTGCATTCTAGTAATTTATCCGGAAACAATTTAATTTTGAATCAGAATAAGTCATCATTATCACCGTTAACATCATCTACAATATCTACAGTAACATCGACATCTATTCCATCGTTGTCGTCATCAGTCTCATCATCATCATCATCATCATCATCTGCAGCTCTAGTTAATCTTCTTAAAGCTCAACATCAACAACAGAATTTAGCGGCAGCTGCTACAGCGGTTGCTTTACAACAACACAATCAATTGAATGGTACTAACAGTCAAAATACTCAAGCTTTACTTGCTGCTCTTATGCTTCAAAATCTCAATACTCCCAATCAACTTATCAAACAATCTTTAAGTAGCCTGTAAGTTTGTGTATATATAGTTAAATAAAACGTTTTAATAACTAGGTGGACTAATTGTGTTTTAATTGTTTTTCTATCTATTTTAACTGTTTACCATTGAAGGAATTGACTAGCTAAAGGTTAAATACCTCTGATAGGCTATATAATGGTTTTGTTTTGTATACAGCGAGTTATATAATATCGTAAGCAACCAGTTATAATTATCTTTATGGAATTAAGTGAGCATTTTAAGTATGGCTTATACAGATGAAAATGAATTGTGATTGGTAAAAATATAGTTTGTTTTATACATCGGAATTTATGAAAGTTATGCTGAATTCTTTTGTAATATCAAAATAACATTGAATTATGATGTATTTCCATGACAATTATGATATTGAATAACAACTAGATACACTACAGTATTTGTATAGGATCTTGCATACTTAATTACGCCTGTTATCCCTCACGAAGGAGCATGGGTCGCCTACCAGCATTTTCCATTCAACTCTGTCCTGGATAACCCTTTCCAATTGCTGTTCATCCTTTTGATATCTGTTTCCAATTCTCGTTGCAGTGTGATCTTTGGCCTTCCTCGTTTACGTTTACTTCACGATTCCAAGTTAGCACTTGCCTCGTGATGCAGTTTGATGATTTCCGCAATCTATCTCCTATCCACCTCCAGTCCTTTCTTAATTTTACTCTTCAGCTGGTAGCTGGTTTGTTTTCTACCACAGTAGGCTGTTGCTGAAGGTATTCGGCCAACAGGCATTCGGTATCTTGTGTGAATAATTGTTTACAAACAATTGTACGCTTTTGATGATGGTTTTAGTAGTTCTCCAAGTTTCGTCTCCGTACAATAGAACTGTCTTGGCGTCCGTATTGAAGATCCTAACTTTGATGTCGATTGACAGTTGGTTTGAGTTCCATAGATTCTTTAACTATAGGAATGCTGACCTTGCTTTTCCGCCTGTAGCTCTTCTAGGACTACTACCTGTCCCAAGCACTGGTAAAGGAAGAGGGTTGGATGTGGGATCAGCATCCCCATCCAGTAGAAAACAACCTTGTCAAAAAACGCTAACCAAAATAAATAAATAATTTGTGTAGGGTCATTTTCCTATATCTCCCCTAGTTGATCGCTGGTTAAATTTCATGAACGAAAGGACCTGTGTACTTCCATTTTAACATTTATAACTATGATCTGACTTTTCACTTAATTGAAAAATGGAACAACTGAGTCTTCATAAGCACAAAAACATAATTTCAACGCTTATCTTCTATTGTGATAAAATCCTCATACTTAACACTATTATTTTTTGCTTTAACTACATTCGAAATGTCTTCACCAACTCATTTAGTTATGGATTAATACCTACATTGACAAGCAGTAATCTACAGTTGTTTTGAAGCGTAAGAGTAAACTGAACTAGCTAATCAAAATTTGTTCTTGTTGTGAATGGGTTACAGATTCGATAATTAACTATTGGATCATAGATTCAAACTTTATCTTACAGACTTCAGCTTGTTTGTTTGTTTGGTGCAAAATTACAATGTATTCGTAAATTATGAAAACCATAAATCAAATACTTCATTTGTGCATCTTCTATCAGTTGTCTCTTACATTCTTCATAATCCTCCCAATTTTGTTTTTATTCCAGTTCCTTTCTGTTTTCCTTTCGGTTCTCTTTAGTTCAATCTTCTCAATCCTCTTTTGACTGGCATTCCACTTGTGTTCGATGCTAGATACTCATTATATCTGTCAACATTGATGGCATACACCACACATATACTCATCCTTAGTTATGAAATCCCATTTATTTTTTTAAAGAATAATAATAAAATATATTCTCTTTCCGTGACTGTTAAATTTGCATAACTTACGGTTTTCAGTTAATATCCCTAATACATATGAAATATATATTTTAGATTTCAGTTGAGTATTTAAATTTTTTTTTCTGTTCATGAAAACATCTTATATAAACAAAGTTGAATTCACGAGTCAATCTAATCTAGACCACCAGTGAAAACCTGGGAGCACTGGACGGCCGTTTCTTCCTATTATGGGACTCCTCAGCAGTGCACATCCACGGAACGGCCGTCTAGTACTTCCAAGTTTTCTACGGTGTTCTAGCTTTGATTGACTCATGAATTCAACTATTTAATTTATTATTTCTTATTAAATTATAGGATATCTTCGTGAAATATAAGAACCATACGTTAAATACTTCTGTTTACCAATCTTCAATCATTGTGCTTCACATTCAGTATGATTTTTTCGATTCACAATTCCTTTCTATTTCCCTTTCTGTTTAATTTAACTCGATCTTCTTCGCCTTCTGCTGCCATGCATCCCACTTCTGATTGATGTTGCATATTACTTATCTGTCAACATAAGTAGCATACACGTCTTGTAGTTTAAACTTTTATGAGATATTTATAATAAAGTGGAAAATTATTGATACCTAGAGAGACGTTTCTTAAAGTGCAATTAACTTTATTCATTAAATTTTAGTTCGTTTCCATTAGAGAATGTCGTTTCCAATCTCCCAATTCAAACACAGCCACAACAATCACAGACAACCATGTTCAACAGTAGTAATAGTAATAATAGTAACAATAATGTTAATTATGCTACTAATAATATTGGTACCAACAGTCCTGGTCTAAATCCGCTTACCTTACTCGGAATAAATAATCCAAGCATGAATCAATCAAATATTGGCTCTGATCTATTATTAAATCCTCAACATATTCGATCATATCAAATGCTAAAACAAACACTTGGAAATGTAAACCCAATTATTCCAAATAACCTTTCTGTAAGTGAACTTTTAAAATATCGTACTGTTTTAAAGTAAATATCTACAATACACTTTATATGATATCCCTATAGTTCAAATTTGGCGTCATGAAATAGTTATTGTAAAGAAATCGCATCTAATGTTACTTGAGACGAAAACAAAAACTATAATCCATTGAGGCTTATAGGTTATAGTGAATTTCTTTTATGTCTGGCCTGAAAATATTAAACTATGTGTCTTTATTCTGCATATAAAATGACAATCACATTGGTCCTATAAACTGACATTATGTACAATACTGGAGGTAGTTTTATATAACTTAAGTTCAAGACGGCAGGGAGTGTATTTACTGTAAATTATTCCTAAGATTGAGCCTCAAACCTTCAAATCTTGTTACAAATCGTTTCAAACTTCATCAAACTGTATGGCTTATTGATATGTCCACTCGAATTTAAGATTCATTGAGTCCTGGACTGAAATCGTCATGTACTTTGTTTTGGACTGTATGGTAGTAACTTCAACTTTCAATATAACTGTTAATCTATATGCGTTTATTAAATTTCATTCAGTTAACTGAAATCTAAACTACCATCCAGTGCTACTCCTCGTTTCTGCAATTGGTTTCACCTCGTAAGAACTTTCCTTATGCCCACCAATTAGTGAGATCAATTAGCTTCATTGAGACATTTAATTTTTCAAGACAATCTAACACTTTATACAAATTTCGATAGTATAATGAGTTGACGGAGTTGGCCTGAAAATGTGCACAATATACACCTGTTCTATCACTTGCAACTCATATGGCTCAAAGTTGAGTAGCATTTCTTATCCTAGATCCTATCCTGAAAATAAGGTTTATATCGTAATATTATATATAGAAGGAGAGTCAGGCAATATAGCTTTAAAACAGCCATCAAGGAGATATTCTATGCTGTCAAGCTGTTCGTCACATAGTACAAAACCTATGACTCCATAAAGACTTTAACGTTGTATCAGTGATTATCTCATACCCTATCACGTTTGTTAGTTCACATCTACATTGTTAATGTACGTGGTGAGGAATAATCGAATTATGTCTGTGAAAATGATTTCAGACTGAGTAACGCAATCTCAGATATAAGCTCAGAAAATAGGCAGCCATACTCTTCTACAAATCTTTATGCAAAAACAATTAAGATTTCATTCTTAGGTTTATGAAAATCCTCTAGTCATTAGATAGTTTCAGTAAATTTTATGCACCCGAAAACAATATTTTTCGCACTTTGAACCTGCTGTTTATTTTATTGTCAAGATATTTTAATGTTTGGTAAATTGGTCATATTGTGCTGCACACTTCAATTAAATGGGATTTTCAACATGACAAAGTTGTTATCTATAATTGATATTCATTAATTATTTGATACCGTATTACGCTTCATACTATGAATAAGTTCTTCATTGTCTATTGCATTGGATTACACTGTATTTTTTGTGGCATAAAGTACCTGATAGCTTTAAGGAAAAGTAACCAAGGTTCATTTTTTGATTGTTGAAAGGCATTTAAACTTATCACCACTTTGGTGGGACAATCTATAGAGTGTTGTATCAAAACACTTAACTGACTAGATCAAATTGAAAATATCCATTACCATGTGTGGATAAAACTCAAAATCCTGTATCAGCATTGTGTACATTGTCTTTCTATTTATTTATACATATTTATGGCCTGAATAGAAGGTCTCTAGAGAGAGAGAGATCGCAAATATTTATTACGGTTGACAGTTGGTTTTTAATAGCTGTTACATATTTGTTTCAGGGAGAACTATCGTGTCTAGATACCACTTAAATTCTGTGGCTAATCACAGCTTTGTAACTTAGTCGTTGCGGAAGTGGAAGTTTTTTTCTATTTTTTTAGAAATTTTGATTGTACGTAGTGTTATAAACGTGAATGTTATACACTACTACTGTACTGACTAGGTATCCCCATTTTTATTCTGGATGAATACCAGTTATACTTTTATAACCTCCTGGGAAAGATTATGAAATCATTTTTTTAATAAGGAGAACTGATAAACAATCATGAGGGGATAGCATATTGTCTCGTGGAGACTACTTATTCCCCCTATCTATTGTGTTCCTACTCATAAGTATCATATACAATCTAGTTAATAGTTATTATTGTCTAATTTTTTTTTAAAAAAAATTGTTCTCTTTGAATAGCTTGCTACTGCTCCATTCTTAGCTTCAAATCTAAATTTTCCCACACCACAAATTGCTTTACCGCTAATAAATCATTCTAATAATGGACAAAATTTAAATCTTTTCACATCATCTTCATCACCATCATCATCAACACCAACATCTATTGGATCATCGATACAACTGGGAACAAATTTAGATTTAAATTCAAATGAAACTAAATTGTGGTTAGCTTCATTGATTGGTAATAGTAATAGTTGTATACAATCAGATTTAGGCATAGCTAATAATAATTTAACGAATCAAATTTATCAAATGTATAAATCTAATGCAAATTTAAATGATACTACTAATACTACTACTACTACTAATAATAATAATATAGTAATACATTATTGAAAGTTAATTCTTTGTCAAAGACACAATTGAATATCAATGAAAATAAAACTAGTTCATCAAATACATTGACAGATACTACAAATACTGGTATTTCACAAATTCATGATAATCGAAATAAAAATAACGAACATACTTTAACGTAAGTGAATATGAATTTTAACCATTTTTTTTTTCATTTTGTCTATCAATATCTATCGAGCACTAGTTCGAAAACCCATTAATTTATTCGATTGGTATTACAGTGACTTCTTGTTTGCGGGATAGAGATTGGACTAAATCATGCTAACTGCACGCTTGCGTTGGCGCACGCTGATTGGATAAGAATTAACCAATCAGTGTTAGTCAATACTTAGTGAAAATTCCAGAAATCTCATATGAAAAAACTATAAATATACCAACGTTTTTCCTTATTGGGCTTCTCATTTCCATCTAACCTAGTTATTTGGAATACAATCTCTTTCCTGTGCAACCGTGTTCTGATTTGTGGACTTGTGGAGTGAACTGGTGTCCGAGAATACTAGCCATAGGAATAGCTGGGTCATACCGTAAGAAAGAGATTATAACACTTCTTGTTAATCTTGAAATTGTAGTCAACAAAATACAATTTTGTATTAGTGAAAAAAAAAGTCATTTATTGGAATCATATAAATAGTGTGATGGTTTTGTATGTTCAGTTTTAAAATTATTTGAATGGATACGGTAAAGTAGTAATTCCAGTTTAGTATGCCAGTTATTTATCTCTTTCTAATTCTCCACAGCTGTTTTACATACAGGGGGTTTCCCCGCGTGGGTTCGAATCCCATCCCCGTCGCCAATTGTTATGTCTCAAAGTGACAGCCGATTATATGACAGTGACTTATCGATCGGATCAAGGTTTCAGAGACTCGATAGTCTATTCTGGTCCGTTGTCCCCAACTCTGCTAACTCGATCAAGAAGTCTGGGTAAGGTGTAGAAAGTGTATTCTACAGACAAACAGCAGATACCAAGTCAGGCAGGCAGATCAGATCAAGCATACAAGTCAAGCGTATTTATACAAATATTTACAATCGATATTGTCATGGAAGATTTTTGAACATTAATCAACAATTGACTGCTATTTGAACATTTAATCGATAGTTCATCAATTGACCTATTTGTACATTTAATCGATAGTTCATCAATTGACCTATCTGCACATTTAATCGATAAGTAAATTACAAAATATGAGTTTTGGGGATCTATCGTCCCCAACAGACTTGTATAAGTGATCAAATTTGTTTGTTTTATACTTTTTAATATGAGATTAGATTTTTTCAACGATAGTGAACCCAGAAAAGTTAGTCTACTTGATCTGAATATTTTCTCTAAGTATTAAAAAGATTGTTTTAAGTTATTTGAGTTTTCTTTATTTAGTGTCTTCTGTGTGATTGAATGGATTTATTAGGTATAATTTCTAATGGTTTATCTAGAGATTGAAGGCTATAGGTTTCTAGTCATAGATACCTTTAGAGTATTACTTGCAAATAGTGAAATGACCGAATGTGCAATGTTTGAGACTAAGGGCAGGGTACTGGGTAAATATGATAAATCACTTGATGAGGTTGTGGATATCCACTGAGGTGTTTAGAACGTGTGTCGCGTATCCTCAACCACCTCCTACCAAAACAGGCGATGTTAGTTGGTGTAGAAGTACGTCAGAATGTAATTCAATGTGTTCAAACCAAACACATGACATCAGTTCATAAAACCAGCTGTTGTTGTTGTTGTTGCTCTGAGCCATGCTGGTAGATAAAGACTACTTGATTGAGGTTCACACGATAATCACGATCAATAGTTGAAAACGTTGTAAGCGGTGACTCATAGTCGATCACAGCAACAAGCATAAATCAACTCTTTATTTTCTTCCAAATCTTCAGCTCCCGACCATTGCTGCTATCTTGATGTGGTGGTCGGGCTTCCCTATCGTGCTGAACCAATCAAGCTATACTAACTGGAACAATCATTCCTCAAGGTCTTGCCATGCTAGACAGATCGGTTGAAGAGCGGTAAGACTGGAAGCAGCAAACACAAAGTCCGAGGGTGAAGTCGCACTGCTGACTTTAAAGAGCTGTGACGGCACTGAGATATTTCCCTCAGACAACCAGTATAACGGCGATGCTGTCTAGCCACAAAGAAAGGGTGAGGTTAGAAAAGGTTGACCCTAAACATGCACACCTCACCTTATCCCACTGAAATCCGTCTCTGGCGCTAAGGTCCCAATAAGAACGGTGCTAACAAGAAAACTACTCACAAAAGTGTCTGTGACCGATCTCAAGTGACTGTTCATTGAGCACTGCGGTCACGCTCTCTGGTCACTCGGTCCAGCTCTTACCCAATTTCCTTTCCAGGTGCCTCTGGAAGAACTTTACCATGGTGTGGGCAACCTGGAAGTGATAACCACCCTCATACCTCCAACAACGGTCATCAGGTTTTATAACATAGGCATGTTTATCGGCGTCTGAGAAAGATGGTTTTTCTTGACTTAAAAGCAGCGTTCGACTCTGTAGACCAAGAGGTGCCGTGGCAGTGTCTGTTATTGAAAGGTGTACCTCAGAAGTAAATAAACCTTGTGAAGACTCTTTACTCGAACACTACTAGTCGAGTCAGAGCTTATGGCGAACTGTCATCTGCTTTTGCAACCTCAAGTGGTGTCCGTCAAGGCTAACCACTATCTCCACATCTGTTCAACTTCATCATAGACCTACTGATGGAAATAACGCTCTCATCGACTGAATTTCCGGGGGTTGATCTCCTATCAGGAGGTCCACTTATCGACTTAGAATACTCAGATGACATAGTCCTGTTTGGTGAAGACGCTGATAAAATGCAGTCTTTTGGTAAATCAGTTGATAAGTTTGTGAATCTTCTCCGATTGAGATGGTTGGGCCAGGTATTACACATGCCAAACCACTGACTATCACGGCGTGCATATATATAGTTTCGAGCGCGATCTACTGTACCGTTTCTCCGGAGGGTTTATTTATTCTCTAAAGAGTGAACTGCGCTAATTTACTGAACGTCAGAAATCAATCTTCTACTCATCGCGATTATTTTAGTGAGGCGAATATTGTAAGATTTGGGACTTTTTTTAGGATTATTATCAAGAATATTACAAATATATCATTATACTTTCACAATTGGTAGTTCTTCTCAAGTAAACAATATTCACACTAAACTTGATCAAGAACCACTTGAATAAAGAGAAATTTGATTTTTATTACCATCGTCTTATCTGCTTATTTTTCTTGTTTTTATCTTTTTTCCTAAAGACAAAGTCTTTCCAATTCAATTAACACTACAAAGAGTAGCATCTCAAACTTAACGAATGTTTTTTCAACACCTGGAAACACACTTACAGATGCTAATAATCTAGTCAATGTTGCTGTATCCTCTTTGAATCCATTCAATTTTGGATTAACTCCATTAACTGCAATTCCTTATAATCCTAATTCATATCTAAATGGTACTGCTGCTGGTGTATTGACTGATTTGTTTAACAGTGTTCCAACACAACAACAAACATCATCTCTACCAAATAATTCCGCTTTATCTGTATTTGGTTCAGCCAATTGTTTTTGGCCAATCATTCCATCTGTATCCAATCTTACTGTTCCTGCTCCTAGTCTAACTACACCATTGGTGATTGGAAGTCAAAATCTTTATCGTAATAGTGCTACTACCATACCTCGTTTCTCTACTTACTGATGTTTACACGTGTGCATTTAAACATTCCGCCATTGAAAGTTAAGTATCTTCTTTTTTTTTTGGTGAACATTTAAAATTCTTGATTTTGTTTTTCTTTCTCAATAAACATATTGGGTAGATAATTTTATTTTTTAAATATTTCCTGTTGTATATTTCAAGATAATAATTATCTCATATTTTATCTTTCTAGTCATTAGCCATGATAAAATAACCATTTAACTATGTTATGTAATTAATTGATTAATTTATTGATTGATTGATTGATTGTTTGTTTGTGATAACTTTCTTTCGATTTCTTATTTATCCAAAAAAAAAATTGAAAAAAAGTTTATTGTCTTTTATTCTTCTCTTTAATTATTATTTAAGGAATTTTCATACTTTCAATTTCTTTATTTAATTTTAATATGAATTTATTTATTTATTTATCTAATTGTTAATTATTTAATAAAAATGATTAAATTCTTAATTAAAACAAACTAAAATGGGAAAGTAGTTTGTTTTACTTAAACTTTATTGCTGTTTATTTTTATTATTTGTGATGAATTAATGGTTGATCAGTATTATCATCTGGAGCCCTTTAGCATTATTTTCGGTTCTAAACCCGAGTAAAGTATTGTTGGAAATAAAGTTAACGACTTAGCTTTGTTCAAGACACCTCGCTAAAAAGAGCATTAATCGGGAATAAGGCAATTATGTCGTTTAAGCTGCCCTGAAAGTTTGAAGGTCCATTGAAGACTTAAGAAAAGAGAGCGAAACTGGTAAGGTTGCAGATCACCGTCTAGTGATGAACAAACTGAAACAGGTCAAACAAACATTGAACGATTTGAGGCGCAGCATTACAAAGTTTGATACACCTTTTCTTTGAAATATTAACAATCTCAGTTCAATATAGGTCTAGGCATTAGATTTAGTAGAACAGGAAGTATCTATGGATAACAACTAGGAGTAGATCAAATAAATATGCTCAAAGGTTATGAGCCTTCAGAAACACTAGAACAAGGGATGTATCTGAAAAAATTTGGGGTGATTTAAGAAAGATAAACCAAAAGAAAAATGAACAACAGCATGAAACGTGAAGGCGCAGGTGAATATACGGGAGAAAACAAACGAGTGAAGATCATTAGAATTGAAAGGCGGGAATACGCATAATACCTAGCGATAACAACCCGGAAAGGAAGACGAAAGAAGTATAGGATACAACGAAGGGGCTAGTAAGTAAGTCTAGGAGACCAGTAAGGAACAAAGGAGGCGAACCAATCACTGAGGTTCAAGAACAACAGAAGAGGTGGTTACAGTAATCCAAAGAGCTCTTGCACAGTATCTCACCACTGGGCAATATACACGGACCCTCTTACAAGTGTTACCACTCCAAGAAGTCAGCTGACAAACGAGTGGAAAAGCAACAGGGCCTGGTAGCATACCTGCTGAAACCGTACATAGAGGTGACAGTATAGGTGCTCCACTTTCTCTTCATAAAGATTTAGAGGGAAGAATAAGTTCTGATAGACCGGTACGAAGGATACCGTAACGGGAGGAACTGAAACTAATGTGACAGCAGTTCGAAAAATATCAGCCGAAAACTCGACGTATAAAAACTAACCTCAGGGTCTCTGTTAGAAAAGAAGCATCTGATTTTATGGAACCATGTCAGTTTTCCTCCCATTTCGCTAACATCATATCCTTCTATCTCAGTTATGATAACTGCATGACATCGGTATCATGAGTTTAAAATGTGTTTATAAGGGGTCTGGAAAATGCGTTTACTTCCTTGTTACGCCACATAGGTATGGCTTCTTTATTTAACATTTCTAAATTATTTTCGTTGTGTAGCTATGACAAACAATGGAAGCTATTTTTGTGTAAATTATTTCACTTGATTCAAATGTTGTAAATTTCAAACATTTAGTATTGACCGTAGGTTATTTTATAAATTATAAGCTCCCATTTGATGTATGATTCACTGGTATATCTTTTCTGTTCCGAAGCCATTGTGATTTAAAAGTAACCTTCTGTACTCTATGTTTCTACCCTAGTGTCTTGTTTGAACATGATTGCACTTTTTACATTTTTGTGCATGCTGATTGTGCTTGTCATCTATTTATTCATGTATCATTTTGTACTAATCTGAATCGGAAGTCAAGAATAAGTCCAGTGGTGTTACAGTTGACTCGTCTTCTCTCTCGATTGTGGACCGATCAGGTAATAGAATAGTTTCCGTTTCCCCAAGGCCGTTAGTATTATTTCACAGTCATACATTTCTAGCTTCAAGGTTGAGCCGGTTGGCCTGTTGTTTCTCAGTGTGCTAAATCAAATCGAGACAAGTTCTTCCCTGTATATTAGTGGGTGGACAGGTCAACTATGCAATGGATTCGAACCCCTAATTTACTTCTCATAACAAGCAAATACAACTCCCTCTTTTAGGGAGTGGTTGATAGTTTCAGCGTGACAGCAGTTTGAAGGGTGAAAGATATTCTTGTGTAGATACGATTTGTAACCTATTGAGCACTCATCGGTTGACCTAGAAGTTGTAAAGACTCTTACGAATACTCAATTCTTACGATTAGCGATTATTCCATTTTCGCCCGACAGATTCATTAGGTTTTGTTTGTTCGTCGGATACGATCAAACCATCAACCTATACATAAAAAATATAATAAATAACAGAAAACGTAACCAGATATGCGTTAGGGTATTGACATAGTGTCTATCGGTTCGAACAGAATATATTGACACACATATTTTGGTTATGATAGATTACCATTGATGGTTTCTAACACTGTTCGAACCGGAATCACATACTACGGCGGAGAGACAGCCCCATTAGTGTTTAAGTTTTGGTCATTCAGAGGGAACAACGGTGGCCCTATGCCTCGTTTCAACGATTAGGTTAGGTTCGACACATTTATCAGTTATTTGGAGGTAGACCATTTCTAACAGTTGTCTATTGTCTCGAAATCTCTCTAAACCTCCCTGTTTCAAACGATTAATTTATAAACGGAGATAATCAACTTCTTAATAGTGTTATTTTCAACCGTATTAAACACATCGCAAGACTTTTAATGGGGTAATAATCCACCAGTGTATTGTACTTTTTACAGATTTGTGTGAATCTCAGTGTGAATAAGTTCATATACGTTAACCCTTGTTTGTTGTCTTTCACTCTTAACTCACTGATCTTAACTCAAAGGCTAAGTTCCATGTTCTCTTACTCTCTACACTCAGTTAATCTATTCACTTTCACTTTCTCTCCGCTAACTAGTGCGGATAAAATCTACGCGTCCACAATATTGTCTGTATTCGGCGCTTTATTGTTCGTTGCTAATGACGAGATCAGTCGAGAGGATACATATGAATTGAATAGGATCTGTATTATATCATCATTATCATTATCAATGTGAGTAGGAAATGAGGTTATCAGACTTATTGGGGTATGCATAAATAGTGAGATCATCATATGTAGAAGAAGTTCTCAATGTTTTGTCATGCAGTTTAATTGGATAACATCTGTGGGACCGTTTATGCAGTTGCTATTAAATCCTTGACATCCGGTTTATAGGTTGTCTGTTATCAGTTTATATTTAGCACTGACCGATACTGTGTAATCAGGAATGCGGTTGTAGATTCCGCCAATTCGTTTCTATTCACGTCGATAGATTTAATAAAGCACCACAAATGTGCTAGCGTATTTCATCAGACAAGCTGGAACTAGTGTGACCTCGTTTTGTGATTAACAGGAGAATGTTTATCCTGACATGTGAACCATAACAAGGATAGTTGGAATTAAAATGTGGTTCATTTATTCAGTAATATGGAGAATTTTGAAGAGCTTCTTGTGTTTGCGAAGGCGATCCCGCACTCCAAGATTTCAAAATAAAGACCTATTTACTAATAATTTGGCTTATATCAGCGTAGCGAGAGGAACCGATAGGCACGAAATATGTACGTTAACGGGAACTGTCATTCAGGGAGAAGATTGTGAAAATGTAATACTTGTGAGGCAATACGCAACAAAGTGAAACCAATGGTAGGAA